AAGAAGAAGCAGAAGCAACAATATCAACAGGAGAAACAGAATTAACAGCCAAATGACGAGTCATTGTTGGTGGAGGACACCCAACACACATAATATCACCTGGCCGCACATTATGGGCACTGTTCAAGATGGTCTCTGCAGAAGTTCCCATGAAACCACCCAAAAAGAGAGAGGAGTGTCATCTTCCACTACACGCAACTTATGTGGCACCACAACAGTAGAGATTGGAATACAAGAAGAAGAACAGGACGGAACGTTATGCATATCTTGCAATAACTTCATACACAGACAACCACCAACACCAGAAGCAGTGGGATTAGTTAACACAGGTCTATCATCCTCGTTATCATTAGCGTCACTCTTCTTGTTGTTATCGTCAGTTGACTTCACAGGTCTAATGGATAAAGTGTGAAAAAAGAAAGAAAAAGAGAAAAAATGAGACACACATAGTGAGTGGATGCAGGGCACAAATACTCACATTGGAAAAGAGAGAGAGAGAGAAACAGCAGAGTAAAGAAACAACAAGGAATTTCCCCCTTGCAATGATATTAATGTGTATCCCTTCATAGAAAAAAAAGAAAACAACACACAATAACCAAATAAGAGAGAGAGAGAGAGAGCCAAACACACACACACAATATACCATGGCTCTAGTTTATGTATATTAAATTACTCCACACACACATCTGTGTGTACTAGCAAGAGATGTATACCGTCAGTGAGCAGAACAGCCCAGTTTTCTGCACACACACACACAACGGGAAAAGCAAGTAATGGAAATTATTAGAAAAAAGAACACACACACAAATAAAAGGAAAAGTAAAGAAATACCAATTAAAAGAAAGCTGGTAAACAGATTATTAATTTCATTCGACCATGGGGTATGTACGCAATTATGATAATGTTAGTATTAACCAGTATTATTATTTGCCCTCAAATGAGACCCACCGTTCAGTACACGGTAGCGGAGACCAAAACAGCCACAATTAGCAGCGATGCTGCAGTGCGTATCCACACAGGATTGATACTGCTGTCAGCATTAGCCTTCTTCTGCACTGTGGAAGCGATGGTGTTAATCTGTGTATCGTTTACGGGAACAGGAGATGGAGTGGTGGTTGGTGCTTCTGTGGTAGTGTTCTCGGGGCTCGGCGGAATAGTGGAAGTGGTTTCTTGTGAGTCTGATGCAGCAGTTGCACCTGCAGCTTCTGGAGATGGCTGGATAGGATTAGAGTCGGCAGGTGTAGTGTTTTCAGATGTGTTGATCGGTGCCTCTTCAGTACCGTGTGTAGCAGGATCAGTCCCGTTATTCTGGCTTTGTGTTTGTTTAACCTCTTGTTCTTCGTCGTGTGTGCCTGCGGTACCTGTTGATGGTAACGTACTTACTCCACTCTGAACAGCAGAAGATACTTCACCTTGTACTGCCGCAGGTCCACGCTCTACTTCACCTGCCTCAGTTCCACGGGAATGATCGGAAGAATCTTGATGTTTGGAGATTCCACCGTCCTTACCAGAACCTTGAGTAAATGGATCGCCTTCGGGTGGCATCTCCTCTGCACTTTCTTCTGATCTCCTTTTGGCGAGTTCTTCATTCTCCACTTCACTACGATGAGAATGCGTTGGGTCATCATTGTTCCTTCTTGTCCCAGTGGGTTGTCCTGTCCTCCCTAAGGACGACTTATATTTATCTGGTGCACCCCAATCCATAAAAGTGGGAGCAAGTGCACCCAATGCGGTTCCCACTCCACTAGCCATAGTAGAGCTGCAGGCGCAGCACAGCACAACGGCCAACACACATATCACACGGCTCATCATCATCATGAAAGAGAGACAAGGGTTTGTTTCACGTAAAAACACTGATCTAGAAAAAGAAAGAGAATCAAAAAGTAAAAAAAGAAAATAACTGAAGTATCAAACACGTTAGGACACACACAAATCTATTACCACAAAAGAAACTCACATCATAAAGTAAATACACACCAGTTAAAGAATGCAATACAGCGCAATAACCTCAGTAAAAGTAAAAACAAAAAAGAAGCCCACACTCACAAATATCTCAAAAAAGGCTGAACCACCCAGCAAAATCATAAGCAAAGAAACAGATATTAACCATTAGCCCAATTTACCCAGTAAACACAAAGAAATACACACCAACCATGGGTGTACGTCTATATATGTGTATATACAAGCAATTATAAATATAAATTCATCTGTTATTATTTCTTTTTTCACACTGCAAAAAAGCAGTTCATCATCATTACAGTGCAAAGCCCAGGCACACACACACAGAGAGAGTCTCCAACAACACACACACAAAATGGAGTAGCAATAATAATTATTATAGGATAAACATTGAGAGCAAAAACACACAAAACACATTAACATTAAGAAACAAAAAAAAAGAAGAAAATTTCCACAGGTGGAAGATTAGTTAGACTGTAGGGATACATGCAAAAAAGAAAAAAGGAAACAAAGGATGACCTGAGTCACACCATTACAATCAGCACACAAGAATACAGGCCAGTGTAACCACAATCAGTAGTGGTACACGCACCCACACAGAACTGTTGATACTGCTGCTGCTGTCTGCATCACCCTTCTTGTTGTTTGTGAGTTCAGGAGGAAGTGTTGTTGTTGTTGTGGTTGAGATAGAGGTTGATTCCTCATTATTTGTTGTAGTTTCATCCCCAGAATTTGCAGTTCCTGCAGATGAGGGGTCGTTCTCATTCGTTGCGGCACTAGAATTTTCACCGCCACCCGTTGTGGTTAAACCGTTAGTAGAAGGTTGTTCTGCTGTTCCATTTGCATTTCCCTCACTTCCTCCAGCATGACCTTCACTTGCAGACGATGCACCACCAATCTCCCCAGTAGTAGGAGATTCAGAAGTAGGACCAGGAGAGGGATCAGCAGCAGCATCTCTACCTGTGGTATCATCAACTGCAGTACCAGATTCACCGGGAGGACCCGGTGGGTCTTGTACATCACTGACCGTCTCAGTCCTTTGTGCTGTAACTTGTGTTGGTTGACTCTCTCCACTACCACTACTACCATGTCCAGGTGCAGAAGATTCACTTGTAGTAGTAGTACGACAATTTTCATTATCACCAACAGCGCCAGCAGAGCATTCAGCTTCACCTTTGGTACCTTGAGGACTTCGTCCATTAGCAGAAGTACTCTGTTCTACATTACCAGCGTGAGCACCGCCACCACCAGGGGCACTGGAAGCATCCGGTTTAGGTCCAAGTGTTGTCTCAGGTTTAACTTTAGCTTCCTTACATTCAGGAGCATCAGAAGTACGAGAAGTACCTTGAGTGCACTTTGTCTCACTATCCGTATCAGGGACTTGGTCGGAAAGATCGGCGGCAGGCACTTCTTCAGCGAGGACGTACACACACGCACATGAGAGCAGGAGAGCGAGGATACACAGCACGTAGCGCATCATCATTACCATTACAAAACTTCTTGTGGTAGTGTTACTTCAATCATTTACACAGAAGAAAACCCAATAATAAAAACAGAAACAAAGTGAATCAATGAAAAAAACACAAGATGAAAACATACACCAAATCAAACATCAATCAACAATTACAGAAGCTCACACACTGAAGAAAGCTGCAACCATAACTCATATAATACCCAAATTAAAGTAAAAACGTACACAGTACCCAGTAACCAAACAGATAATCCCAATTAACCCCTCAAAAGAAAAATAAAAGAAATTAAAGAGTACAACCATCAAAAGAGTAAAGCACAGAAATACATCAAAATGCCTCTTCCTGTAGGACCAAGCACAATTACAAATATACTTATGTGTTCTTTATCTCTTTCTCACCGCACAAAACACTCCAACACACAACAATGCAGGAAAAAGCACACAGCGCCCAAGCAAAGAAAACGCGAACAAAAACACAAATTAAGAAGAGGAGCAACCACACAAAAATAACTCACAGACCACTAAGTATACTGGTGTGTTCAAGTACATAAGAATACAAATTGTATTGACTACTATTTTTTTCTTTGCTCTGCATAAAGCAGACTACCACAGCCGTGCAAGGAAAAGCACACAAAGACCCAGCAAAATCAACAAGCAAACAAAGAATCATGTATTAATCATTAGCCCAATTTACCCAGTAAACACAGAAATACAACAACTATGTGTATAAGTTCATATATGTGTGTCTATACGCAATTATAAATATAAATTTATCGGTTAATATTATTTTCTTTTTTCCCACTGCAAAAAAAACAATTCATCATCATTATTACAGTGCAAGCCCAGGTGCACACACAGAGAGAGTCTCCAAGAACAGACACACACACAAAATGGAGTAGCAATAATAATTATAGGATAAACACAGAGAGCAAAAACACACAAAACACACATTAACATTAAGAAACAAAAAAAAAAAGATAATCCCAACAGGTGGAAGATTAGTTAGACTGTAGGGATGCATGCAAAAAGAAAAGAAAAGAAAACAAAGGATGACCTGAGTCACACCACCACCACCACACAATCAGCACACAAGAATAAAGGCCAGTGTAACCACAATCAGTAATGATACACGCACCCACACAGAACTCATACTGCTGCTGTCTGCATCACCCTTATTGTTGTTTGCAGGCTCAGGAGGAAGTGTTGTGGTTGTTGTTGTGGTTGAAGTGGTGGTGTCTGCAGTTTCCACATGTTGTTGGTTGCTTGATGACTCACTCTCAGCAGGTGTAGTGCCGCTCTCGTCTTTTGGAGTATCAGAACCATCATCACTCACTGTGGCCGAAGTGTTAGGAGAGTCAACAGAAGGTTGTGTTTCTGTAGTTACACGGTTATCTCCATTTTCACCTTCAGGTGGTGTATTGTTGCCCTTGTTTCCAGTTTGGCCATCACCCGAAGGCTCAACAGAACTTTCCCCAGAAAGCTTAGCAGGAGGAGTAGGACCAGGAGCAGAAGGTTCAGAAGAAGAAGAAGCAACAACACCAGATCCAGGAAAACCAGCCGCAGCTTCTCCTGGGTTACCAGAAGCACCAATTGGACCTGGTGTACCATTTTCCTGACCTTCTTCTCTACGAGTACTTGTACTTAGAGCCGGTTCCTGCTGTGGTTGTGTACAATGTGTATCACCAGATCCACCACGACAACTCTCTTCAGTGATAGGACCATTGGTAATGCAACCATCCGTACCCGAAGGTTCCGCACAATTAGGAGAACCTAGAGTTTCATCACGGGTAGTATTACACGGAGGGTTAGTGGTACCTTGAGGACAAGCTCCAGCTCCAGTTACTTGTGCGTTTTCAGGTACTTTCTTACATAAACCATTCTCTACAGAAGAATCACCATGACAATGATTATCGCCTTCACCAGTACAACCAGTAGTAGCTTCAGTGCACTGAGCAACAGGAGTACCTTGAAGAAGAACCTTTGTCTCACTCTCCGTATCAGGGACTTGGTCGGAAAGATCGGCGGCAGGCACTTCTTCAGCGAGGACGTGCACACACGCACAGGAGAGCAGGAGAGAGAGGATACACAGCACGTAGCGCATCATTACCATTGCTCTTCGTTTTCTTGTTGTCTTTCTTGTCACTTGAGGTTGCAGATCTATGCAAGGAGTGCGGAAAAAAGAGAAAAAATGAGAAAAAAAGAGACACACATAGTGAGGGGATGCAGGACACAAATACTCACAATGGAAAAGAGAGAATCAACTGCACAGTAAATCAACAAAAAAAAAGGATTATCCCCCTTGCATGATAATAATATGCACCCATTAAAAGAAAAAAAAAACAACACATTACCCAAATAAGAGAGAGAGCCAAATACACACACACAATACCCCATGGCTCTATTTTGTATATTAAATTACTGCACACACACACACACACAAAAGTAAAGAAAATCCTAATTAAAAGATAATGCTGGTAAACAGATTATTAGTTTTTTCACCCATGGGGGATGTAAGCAATTATGATTATGTTAGTTTAATCATTATTATTATTTGTCCTCAAATTAGTCCAGCTGTTCAGTACACGGTAACGGAGAACAACACAGCCACAATCAGTAGCGGCACACGTACCCACACAGGATTGACACTGCTGTCATCATTAGCCTTGTTCTGTACGGTGGAAGCAGTGCTGTTGGTAATCTCTGAATTGGGTACAGGTGAAGGAGTTGGTGTTGGTGCTTGAATGACAGTTTTCTCGGAGCACAGCGGAGTAATTGGTATTGATTCCTTTTGAACCTTTTGTAGTATTTTAAGGTTGAGCTATATGCATTACGGTAGTGGGAATCAACACCTTTATTTGATTCTGTGCCTGTAGTTGTGGATGTTGTTGTTTCTGCCGCTAAAACAGCTGACAGTAACACTTTCGTTGCACCTTCCCTTCATGCGGGTACACTTCCAGTACTTATTGCAATATCTGGTTTACTGTCCACTGTAGACTTACATCTCTCCCCTCGAGTGGTAGAATGATTTACACTTATTGACGTTACTACGAATTTAGTTGGGTGGCTTTAGATGAGGCAGTCTCAGAAACATTTTGTGATATTTCCTTTCCTGTACTCACACCGCTCGAAAACATTTTTTTCTACCATCATTCTGAGATGTTGTTAATACACTACTGATATGATCAGACACTTCACTTCTCTTGCAACTCCACCCACTTTTTTTCACTTCTAACGGATTGGCTGTGTGGTCGTTACATCTATGAACGTAAAGGGAATCACAATCCCATGTATTATAAAGAAACTATTTTACCTTTTTTTTTCTTTTTTTTCCAATTCGATCAGATGCAAAAATAATACTTTTCTAAACATATTTATTCCATAGCTGGTGTTGAAGTTCATTCTTCATATATTTCTGTATTGAGTCTGCTGTACATACACCAAACTTTGTATCGCAATTTGTCATATTCCACTACGAATTTAAATTCATCCATATACATTTCCCTTCACTCGTAACTAGTTATGAATAAAATCTTAAAATCTCAGCAGCTTTGCCATTAACACTGTGCTGTTACCCCTATCAAATTTACTTATTTTGTATGTTTTCCAATAGCAGCAAATAAAATGTTCGTATATTTCAATAAAAAAGTAATAATTTTTTCCCTACCCATTTTTCCCACGGCCATGTTGACGTTCCATATTCTGATTTAGTATTCGTTCCAGTACTCTTGTTTTCTCGTCCAATACCATCTCAGCAGCCTTTCTCTCCCTTACGGCCTCCTCATGACGTTTGACGGCGGCCTCATATTTGGCCAGCAATTCCGCCTCCTTCGCCTTATCATCCATGGT